TGAGCCATTCGGCTCTTGAATCGGGTGCAACCACAACAAACAAAAAAACAAAAACACGAACAAGAAAACATCTTAAAGTGACTATGTGACTGTGCAAACAGAACATCCATGGAAAAAAACAGCAAAATATTCCTGAAAAAAGCACCGTACGCCAACGCTGTGTGCAAAAAATCCCAGTGGGATGCAAGTCAAACAACAACAACCACAAGACAACTTAGATTAAGGCCGTCAGTCTAACTCCGTAACTACAACAAACAAACATGGCCAAACCAAAAAACTTTTCGAAAGTGTGTGTAGGTAAGTGTGTGAGTGAGTGTGTGGTTGAGTGTGTTTGTGAATGGTTGAGTGTGTAAGTGGGTGGGTGAGTGTGGTTGAGTGGATGAGTGTGTGTGTGTTGGTGACAGTATGAGAGCATGTGTGTGTGTGGGTGAGTGTGTGGTTGAGTGTGTTTGTGAATGGTTGAGTGTGCGGGTGAGTGTGTAAGTGGGTGGGTGAGTGTGGTTGTGTGGATGAGTGTTTGTGTGTGGGTGAGTTACATATACCTGAGCAGTGTGCTTATGACCGGCTCCAGTTTAACAGCAGAGGTCTCACTCAGAATCAGTCGAGCGGCAATATCTTTTCATCGGTTGTGTAACGCTGTGTGGAAGCTACCTGGTCTGTCGCTCCGCACTAAGCTTCAGGTCTTCTCGGCCACGGTCATTCCCTCCCTTCTCTACGCTTGCGAAACGTGGATCCCCCTAATGAAACATCTTCGCCGGTTAGAAACATTTAGGCTAGCCTGCCTACGATCCATCCTGGGTTTAACCAGGCTGGATTGTGTGAGGAGCTCACAAATCCTTGAAAGATCTGGGCAAGGTCCCATCGGTGAGCTCTTCCGGCAGGCAAGGCTGTGTTGGCTGGGTCATGTAGCCTGCATGCCCAGCCACCGCATGCCGAAACAGCTTTTGTTCGGCCGGATCGAGGGGGCTAAATGGGCGCGGCACGGGCTAGAGAAGAGATGGAGTGATGTGGTACAGGAGGACGTGGAGCTGAGTGGACTTGCCGATGACTGGTACCATCGGTGTCAAGATCGGCCTCTGTGGAGGAGGCTCGTGAAGGATGCTACTGGGCAGTTGGAGGCAGTCGCCCTCCAACAACAACGGAGGGCGGAGGAGCGACGCTCAGAACAACGAGCGGAGCGCCGGGTGGCTAAAGCACAGCAGGTTGGCACAGTAGGGGGCACAGGTGGTGCATCAGCCAGTCATCTCAGTCAGTCGACCCGTGGCACCTGGGTCTGCCCCGTGACCTCCTGCCAGCGGGCGTTCGACACTTCACGTGGCCTCAAGGTGCACATGGCCTGGCACAAGCGTCGTGGTGACGTCACCGCCACTTAGTGGCGAATGGCGGTTGTTGGTGTTGTGTGGGTGAGTGTGTGGTTGAGTGTGCGAGTGTGTGACTAAGTATTCGAATGAGTGAGTGAGTGTGGGTTCTATTAGATTCTGAATACGAGGTTCTAAACTGGGTCACCTGCTGGATTCTATACTGGGTCACCTGCTGGGTTCTATACTGGGTCACGTGCTGGGTTCTAAGCGATTCTTTCCCCCCCATCTATCGTGATAATCGATTCTCCCTCGGCAACCCCCACAGAAATCCTCATTTTAAAAAAATCACTAATAGTGTTGAATGCCTAGGAATTGATTCCTTTTAAAGGGCCGTTAACAGTGGAATCGCTAGGAAATAATAGAAAAACGACTCGTTAAATCGATCCAGGCGTTACCACGGTCGTGTCGCCTCTCCATATAAGGTGGTGCGCGAGGGCAGACGTGACGTCATCGCGTTCTAGGAGGTGGGACCTTAACGTGGTGACGTCATCGGAGTGCCGGGGTAGGTGGAATGTACGCGTTCAGACGTCACGGACAGAAAGGGGTTCGGCTCTCTGTTCGCGTGACGTCACGGCGCTCGCAGCGTGCGCTCGACGTGCATCGGTGACGTCACCAGGTTAGGTTGGGTGTGAGCGGATGACGTCACGGGAAGTGGTTGTCGTCTCTGATAATTAACAACAGGTTCTGTTAAGATGTTAAACACCAAATAGTCGATACTGTACCTCCTGCGATGAATCGAGTACTGCATGTGCCACACACACACACTGCTGCTGGTGGTGAACATGCAAACAAAACATGCTCTGATAATCATCATATGCACGCATTCTCTTTGAAACTAATTGACCTGGGGGCCGTCCATGAATGACGTCACGCGCCTAGGGGGAAGGGGGAGTTTGATAAATGTGACGTCACATCAAAATGCGCAACTTTAAATACAGACGCGTTTCTACTTAATTGAATAGACTTTGTTAATAAATGTGTTTCGCCTACAACATCAGAGTGCAGCGCCACATTAAATACGCACTACAATGACATTTGAAGCATGGTTTATTTTTTAAATAGAAATATTTTTTTGGGGAGGGGGGCAGAGCTTTGTGACGTCATATTTGAGGGGGGGTCTGACTTGTGACGTCATGTGACGAGGGGGGGTCAAAAATCGTCCAAAATCGCGTGACGTCATTTATGGACGGCATTCTTGAAGAACCTCGTCTCAGCTGCGAGTGTCAGGCCAGAGAACAGGGCCACAAGGTGAACTGTACTAAGAGAATGGCATTCATAGCTCGCGGTGAGCAGCTATTACATTGGGACACCCACGCACCAAACCTCCTACCCACCAAACCTCCTACCCACCAAACCACCTACCCACCAAACCACCCACCACCCACCCACCCACCAAACCACCTACCCACCAAACCACCTACCCACCAAACCACCTACCCACCAAACCACCTACCCACCAAACCACCCACCCACCAAACCACCTACCCACCAAACCACCTACCCACCAAACCTCTCACCCACCAAACCACCTACCCACCAAACCTCCCACCCACCAAACCACCTACCCACCAAACCTCCTACCCACCAAACCTCCCACCCACCAAACCTCCTACCCACCAAACCTCCTACCCACCAAACCACCCACCAAACCTCCTACCCACCAAACCTCCTACCCACCAAACCTCCTACCCACCAAACCACCCACCAAACCACCTACCCACCAAACCTCCTACCCACCAAACCTCCTACCCACCAAACCTCCTACCCACCAAACCTCCTACCCACCAAACCACCTACCCACCAAACCTCCTACCCACCAAACCTCCCACCCACCAAACCTCCTACCTACCAAACCTACCCACCAAACCACCCACCCACCAAACCACCCACCAAACCTCCCACCCACCAAACCTACCCACCAAACCTCCCACCCACCAAACCTCCTACCCACCTACCTACCCACCCACCCACCTACCCACCCATCCACCCATCTACCCACCCACCTACCCACCCATCTACCCACCCACCCACCTACCCACCTACCCATCTACCCACCCACCTACCCACCCATACACCCACCTACCCACCCACCTACCCATCTACCTATCCACCCACCTACCCACCCACCTACCCACCCACCTACCCACCCACCTACCCACCCATCCACCCACCTACCCACCCACCTACCCACCCACCTACCCGCTACCTACCCACCCATCTACCCACCTACCCACTACCTACCCACCCACCTACCCACCCACCCATTCACCCACCTACCCACCCACCTACCCACCCATCCACCCACCTACCCACCCACCTACCCACCCACCTACCCACTACCTACCCACCCATCTACCCACCTACCCACCCACCTACCCACCCACCCACCTACCCATCCACCTACCCACCCATCCACCCACCTACCCACCCACCTACCCACCCACCTACCCACTACCTACCCACCCATCTACCCACCTACCCACCCACCTACCCACCCACCCACCTACCCATCCACCTACCCACCCACCTACCCACTACCTACCCACCCACCTACCCACCCACCTACCCACCAATCCACCCACCCACCTACCCACTACCTACCCACCCACCTACCCACTACCTACCCACCCACCTACCCACTACCTAACCACCCACCGTATTGTTTGATGTTATGACGCTCTGACCTCGTGCCCCCTACTGGACATCAGTGACACAAAGAGCTTCACAGCTCATCCGATTCCGTTTCCGGTGTGGGAGGGAGGGGGGAAGATAAATGGGGGATGACGTCACGAGAATAGGAGGGAGGGGGGGGGGGACCCTGGGGGGGACCCTCCCACACCACGTGACGCGGATTCTCGCGTCACGTGGCCCGGAGGAGCGGACTTCCGGAGTGGGGGGTTCCCGGTGACTCCGCTGGCGACTCAACAACACCAGCAACAACACCAGCAACAACAACAACAGCGACTCAACAACACCAGCAACAACACCAGCAACAACAACAACAGCGACTCAACAACAACAACAACAGCGACTCAACACCAGCAACAATAACAACAACAGTGACTCAACAACACCAGCAACAACAACAACACCAACAACAACAGTGACTCAACAACAACAACAGTGACTCAACAACACCAGCAACACCACCAGCAACAACACCAGCAACACCAACCACCACCACCCTCACCACCAACACCACCACCGCCTACACCACCACCCCCCCACCACCACCACCACTGCGACTCACCAACACCACCCTCACCACCCTCACCACCACCACCCTCACCAACACCACCACCACCCCCCCACCACCACCACTGCGACTCACCACCACCACCACCCCACCACCACAAACACCACCACCACCAACACCACCACCACCCCCCCCACCACTGCGACTCACCACCACCCCACCACCACCAACACCACCACCACCACCCCCCCCCCCACCACCACCACTGCGACTCACCACCACCACCACCCCCCTCACCACCACCATCACCACTGCGACTCACCACCACCCTCACCACCACCGCCCCACCACCACCACTACCACCCCCCCACCAGCACCACCACTGCGACTCACCACCACCACCTTCACCACCACCCTCACCACCATCACCACCCCCACCATCACCCTCACCAGCACCATCACCACCACCAGCACCACCACCACCACCCTCACCACCACCCTCACCACCATCACCACCACCGCGAGAAGCCCCCAGCTGAAGAGGCCTCCCCAGTCGCCGCGTGAGTCTCTGCGTCTCCCACCCACACACCGCCAATCGCATCCCGTGCCGTCTGCGGCAAACTTAGTGCCGATTGTTGCTGCCCGCCTGCCGTTAAAGCTGCTCAGAGACTCATAGACTCAGAGACTCATAGAGACCCATAGACTCACCACACAAAGACTCATAGAGACCACACAGAGACCCATAGACTCACCACACAGAGACCCACAGACTCACCACACAGAGACCCATAGACTCACCACACAGAGACTCATAGAGACCACACAGAGACCCATAGACTCACCACACAGAGACACACAGACTCACCACACAGAGACCCACAGACTCACCACACAGAGACCCACAGACTCACCACACAGAGACCCATAGACTCATCACACAGAGACACACAGACTCACCACACAGAGACCCACAGACTCACCACACAGAGACCCACAGACTCATCACACAGAGACCCACAGACTCACCACACAGAGACCCACAGACTCACACAGAGACCCATAGACTCACTTACACAGAGACACACAGACTCACACAGAGACACACAGACTCACCACACAGAGATCCATAGACTCACCACACAGAGACCCATAGACTCACCACACAGAGACCCACAGACTCACCACACAGAGACCCACAGACTCACCACACAGAGACCCACAGACTCACCACACAGAGACCCACAGACTCACCACACAGAGACCCATAGACTCATCACACAGAGATCCATAGACTCACCACACAGAGACCCACAGACTCACCACACAGAGACCCACAGACTCACCACACAGAGACCCACAGACTCATCACACAGAGACCCATAGACTCATCACACAGAGACCCACAGACTCACTCACACAGACACACACAGACTCACCACACAGAGACCCATAGACTCACCACACAGAGACTCATAGAGACCACACAGAGACCCATAGACTCACCACACAGAGACACACAGACTCACCACACAGAGACCCACAGACTCACCACACAGAGACCCACAGACTCACCACACAGAGACCCATAGACTCACCACACAGAGACACACAGACTCACCACACAGAGACCCACAGACTCACCACACAGAGACCCACAGACTCATCACACAGAGACCCACAGACTCACTCACACAGACACACACAGACTCACCACACAGAGACCCATAGACTCACCACACAGAGACTCATAGAGACCACACAGAGACCCACAGACTCACCACACAGAGACCCACAGACTCATCACACAGAGACCCACAGACTCACCACACAGAGACCTACAGACTCACCACACAGAGACCCATAGACTCACCACACAGAGACACACAGACTCACCACACAGAGACCCACAGACTCACCACACAGAGACCCACAGACTCATCACACAGAGACCCACAGACTCACCACACAGAGACCCACAGACTCACCACACAGAGACCCATAGACTCACCACACAGAGACACACAGACTCACCACACAGAGACCCACAGACTCACCACACAGAGACCCACAGACTCATCACACAGAGACCCACAGACTCACCACACAGAGAGCCACAGACTCACACAGAGTCCCATAGACTCACTTACACAGAGACACACAGACTCACTCACACAGAGACACACAGACTCACCACACAGAGACCCATAGACTCACCACACAGAGACCCATAGACTCACCACACAGAGACCCACAGACTCACCACACAGAGACCCACAGACTCACCACACAGAGACCCACAGACTCACCACACAGAGACCCACAGACTCACCACACAGAGACCCATAGACTCATCACACAGAGATCCATAGACTAACCACACAGAGACCCACAGACTCACCACACAGAGACCCACAGACTCACCACACAGAGACCCACAGACTCACCACACAGAGACCCACAGACTCACCACACAGAGACCCATAGACTCATCACACAGAGATCCATAGACTAACCACACAGAGACCCACAGACTCACCACACAGAGACCCACAGACTCACCACACAGAGACCCACAGACTCATCACACAGAGACCCATAGACTCATCACACAGAGACCCACAGACTTACACAGACACACACAGACTCATCACACAGAGACCCATAGACTCACCACACAGAGACCCATAGACTCATCACACAGAGACCCACAGACTCACCACACAGAGACCCACAGACTCACCACACAGAGACTCAGACACAGGCTCAAAGACTCAGACTCATCACATAGAGACCCATAGACTCACTACACAGAGACCCATAAACTCGCCACTCATAGACTCACCACACACAGACTCATAGACTCACCACACAGATCCATAGACTCACCACACACATACTGATAGACTCACCACACACAGACTCGTAGACTCACCACACACAGACTCATAGACTCACCATACAGATCTATAGACTCACCACACACAGACTCATAGACTCACCACACAGATCTATAGACTCACCACACACAGACTCGTAGACTCACACGTGTGTTTGTGTTTCAGCGTTGTGATGGCTGCAGTGATGATGACGTCATCCGATCTGGTCACGAAGGAAACGCAACTCAACCTGAATTGTGACACATCAACAACATCAACAACATCAACAACGACGACAACGACAACATCATCGTCATCACCCTCAACACTCGCATCAAACTCAGCAGCAACATCAACAACAACAACATCACCACCATTATCCACACCAGCGTCACTATCAACAATACCACTTCAACCATCAACACCATCGCCACCACTGCACTCGGGCCAACAGGCAAACCCAAGGGTACAGGCGGTGCCCCCGCTACAATCTCGCCTACAGCCCACGCAACAGTCATCCTGTCCCCCGAACCCAAGTCTACAGGCAGCCCCTAAGCTGCCCCGAGACCAACAGGCGATGGCCAAGGCACAGGCGGTCGGTCCCCTACAGGCCGAGCTACAGTCAGCCCCTCGACCGGCCTCTCCGCCGCACCCCGAACAACAGGCAAACCCCTCGCTGCATTCGGTCTCTTGGCTGCAGCCGGAGAGGCCGTCGCCGAGGGTACAGGCCGTCTCCCCACTGCGGTCGAATCCGCTCCGCGCCACTCAGCCCCCGACTCGAACTCCGCCACAGCCCAACTACGGACTACGGGCGTGCTCGCCGCTACACCCCGACTGGCGGCCGCCTCCCGCGCTACACCCCGACCGGCGGCCTGGTGAAAAGTCGCCGCCTCCTCCGCTGCACTCAGGCTTCCAGCCGGGCCTACGCTCGTACGACAACAGCACAGCGGCGGCGTCATCAGCCTCTCCCTCACAGCCAGACCACAGGTTACAGCCGGGCCTACGCTCGTACGACAACAGCACAGCGACGGCGTCATCAGCCTCTCCCTCACAGCCAGACCACAGGTTACAGCCGGGCCTACGCTCGTACGACAACAGCACAGCGGCGGCGTCATCAGCCTCTCCCTCACAGCCAGACCACAGGTTACAGCCGGGCCTACGCTCGTACGACAACCCCATGCCGCGTTCAGACTCTCCGCCACACCCGAGCCAGCAGCCGGCCGCTCGCCTGCGGGGGCACCGACGGTCGGGCAACGGCCCAACGGCCTCGCCGCCGGCGGCCTCGCCGCCGCAGGCCGGCGGCGGTTGTGAGCCGCCGCCGCCGCCGTTCCCTTGGCAACTGGACCCCTTCGCCGCCCCGGTCCCCCGCAGAGCTTCTTCCCCCGGCGCCTTGGAGCGCTGGGCCGAGGCGTCACCGGCACGGTCCCTCGGGAACGCCGCCGCTCGTCCCGCGGGAATTCCGGCTCCCGACCCCGTGGAAGTTGCGCCCCGTTCCTGGAGAATTCCGTGCCCGTCTTCCTACCCCAGAACGCTGGCAGCGGCCGCACGGGGAATGCCTAGCGCTGCGTGGGGGGGGGAGCCCGAGTCTTTGGCGGGGATCTCTGAGCCTTCCCGGGGAGGCCTCTGGGCGGCTTCACCGCGGACTCCCGGAATTCCGTCCCGCGAGAAGTCTCCCGGAACGGCGACCCTGGGGCTCCTGGAGAAGTCTCCCGGAGCGTCGACCCCTCCCCTGGGGCCTTGGGAGAAGTCTCCCGGGACCCCTCCCCTGGGGCTCCGCGAGAAGTCTCCCGGAGCGTCGACCCCTCCCCTGGGGCTCCGCGAGAAGTCTCCCGGAGCGTCGACCCCTCCCCTGGGGCTCTGGGAGAAGTCTCCCGGAGCATCGACCCCTCCCCTGGGGCTCTGGGAGAAGTCTCCCGGAGCGTCGACCCCTCCCCTGGGGCTCCGGGAGAAGTCTCCCGGAGCGTCGACCCCTCCCCTGGGGCTCCGCGAGAAGTCTCCCGGAGCGTCGACCCCTCCCCTGGGGCCTTGGGAGAAGTCTCCCGGGACCCCTCCGCTGGGGCTCCGCGAGAAGTCTCACTACCACTACAACTCCTGTGGCACGTCCAACTCATTCCTGACACTTACAGCAACAGGACAACAACAGCTGCAGTACCCACAACAACAACCACAACAGCTGCAGTACCCACAACAACAACCACCGCAACAACAGCTGCAGTACCCACAACAACAACAACCACCACAACAACAACAGCTGCAGTACCCACAACCACCACAACAACAGCCGCAGTACCCACAACCACCACAACCACAACAGCTGCCGCAGTACCCACAACAACCACCACCACAGCCACAACAGCTGCCGCAGTACCCACAACCACCACCACAACAACAACAGCCGCAGTACCCACAACAACAACCACCACAACAACAGCAGCTGCAGTACCCACAACAACAACCACCACAACAACAGCTGCAGTATCCACAACAATCACTACAACAGCTGCAGTACCCACAACAACAACAACCACCACAACAACCACAACAACTGCAGTACAAACAGCAACAACAACCACAGTACACACAGCAGCAGCAACAACAACCATCGCCGCTTTACACACCACCACAACAACAGTCGCCACAGCACACACAGCACACACAGCAGCCGCAACAACAACCACAGTACACACAGCAACAACAACAACCATCGCCGCTTTACACACCACCACAACAACAGTCGCCACAGTACACACAGCCAGCACAACATTCATTGCAGTACACACAGCTGCAGTGCACACAGCAACAACCACCACAACAACAACCACCACAGTACACTCAACAACAGTACGCACAGCAGCCACAACCAAATTGCACGCAACAGTCGCCACCGCCAACACAACAACCATCACCGCAGTACACACAGCAACAACAACAACAACCACAACATTTGTCACCGCAGTACGCACGGCAGCAATCACCATTACAGCCTTCACCGCAGTACACACAGCAGCCACAACAGCAACTGAATTATACGCAGCAAACACCACGACACCAACAACAATATCACGCACAACAACAACAGCAACTATCTCCACAACAACAAAAGTACACACAGGAACAGCAACAGTTGTACACTCACCAGCAGTACATTCAGATGGATTACACACCGCAATCACAACAACCATATGCACAACAGCAGACCCACGAGCAGCCGTACTCCCAGTACACTCAACAACAAGCGTACACACAGCCACCACAACCACACTCATTGCCGCAACAGTCGCAGTACACACAGCAGCAGCCAGATCACATTCAACATTCGCAGTACACGGAGGAACAGCAGCAGCAGTACATCCAGCACCGTCAGAGCTTACCGCAACAGTACTACACGCAGCAGCAACAGCAACCACCACAACAACCACTACAACAGTCGCAGTACGCACAACCACAGCCGCACTCGCTCCAACAGCCATCGCCCACACGATTGCAGCAAGCTATGCTGCAACCAAAGCACAGCCCGCAACAGCCGGACATACAACCGTCGGCGCTACTGCAACAGAAGCAGCAACAGAAGCAGCAACAGCAGCAACAGCCTTTCCCGCAGTACCAGCAGTACCAGCAGTACTTACAGTACCAGCATCATCATCGGCAGCAGCAGCAGCAACAGTTTACACGGAAACTGTCGGCAACACTACAGCAACAGCGTCAGCAGCAGCAGCAGCTGGAGACAAACTTGAACCAGGAGCTTGTGGAGATGCGAGACTCCTACGAGGATGGTGAGACATGGAAACACGAGGAGAGATGCACAGAGAGACGGAGACACGGGAACTTGGGGGTAGGGACACACGAGGAGAGATACACAGAGAGACAAGAAGACATGGAGAGAGACACACAGAGAGACATGGAGAGAGACACAGAGAGACATGGAGAGAGACACACAGACACACAGAAAGACATAGAGAGAGACACACAGAGAGACATGGAGAGACACACAGACATACAGAGAGACACACAGAGAGACACACAGAGAAACACAGAGAGAGACATGGAGAGAGACACATAGAGAGACACACAGAGAGACACACAGACAGGGAGACACTTGGAGATGGAGATAGGGAGATACGAGAGAGACACATAGACGGGGAGAGAAGGAGACATGGGGACAGGGAGACATGGAAATATACACACAGTAAGACAGGCAGACGCGGGGATAGGGAGACACAGGGACATGTCTCTGCTATGTTTGCTGTGTTCATATGCCTTCGTCTCCCTGTCTCCCCGTGGGTTTCCGTGTGTGTCTGCGTCTCCCCGTGTCTCAGCTTTGCTTCGCCACCAGACGCTGCGTTTCCAGGCCCTGGTGGAGGAGACACAGAGACTTGGGGAGACACGGGACAAGCTGAGACTGGAGGTTTGCGATGCGGAGACGCGGAGACACCGAGATACGGAGACACGCGGAGACATGGGTGTCATGGTGAATGCCACTACAACTACAACTATCATCACTACCACCATAACTACCACGACAACTATTACAACTACCATCGCTTCCACTACAACCACTGCATTTACTACAACTACCACAACCATAACTACCACGACAACTACTACAACTACCACTGCAACTACCACCACTGTATTTACTACAACTACCACAACCATAACTACCACGACAACGACTACAACTTCCACTACCATCACTACCACCACTGCACTTACTACAACTACCGTCACTACAACTACCACCACGACAACTACTACAACTACCACCACTACCATCAGTACCACTGGCAATGAAAGATGGCTGCCTTCATGCAGCCATCTTTGTCAAGTGAGAAATCACGACGAATGCTTTCAATATGGCAACCGAACATCGATTATCGATCTCCCAGTCTCCGGCGTAACAATAAAAACTAAGCCAACGGGCCTCTTCAGAGCCAAACAACGCATCAGGCAGGTCCTGGCACAAGGATCATCCAACTGAACATTGAGGGACTTTCCCAGGCGAGGGACGAGTGTCTCGCGATTGTAATGAAAGCCCACAACATTGATGCCCTGACGCTCCAAGAAACCCACGTCTTTGATGCCCCTACATGTCAGTCGCTGCCGCGTCCATGGATGCAACCTCACGATGAGCCATTACCACCCGAAATATGGCTTGGCCATATGTGTGAACAACACCATCGCAGAGTTATACGCCTTCCCACCAACTGCAAGAGAAGCCACCTACACCACCAGCATCAAGATAGGGGAGCTGCACATCACCAACGTGTACAAAGCCCGCTCATTCAAAATGGCCAAAGCCAGCGCTCCCAAGTGGACCAATCCCAGCCCTATACGTTGGCGACTTTAACAGCCACCGTACTATGTGGGACTATGCAGTAGATCAGGCCGACGGCGAAGACCTCACCGGACTGGATGTCCGCTGAAGATCTGCAACCTGGTTGTCGATCCCAAGCAGCAAGCAACTCTCCACTCCGCTTGCTGGCAACGTGACTGCAACCTGGACCTCTCGCCATCGTTTCCAGAGATCAAAGTGGGAGCACACTTCACGCATTCCGCAAACTACTCCCAAGTGTCCCCAAAAGTCAGCATGGACCCATCATCACCCACATCATCATCATCATCGAAATGCCCGTGATTCTGTCTAAACGATTACCAATGTGGAACCTGGTCAAAGCTGACTGGGACCACTAAAAAGAGGCTGTAGAGAGAGTGGCGAGTCAAATTATTGCGACACCAGGATGCTATCACCGTTTTGTTGGCCTCCTTACTGCAGCTGCCAAGGAGAGCATCTCCCAAGGCTTCCAGTAACAATGCACTTCCTGCTGGACAAAAGAGATCCAGGAACTGCTTCCGACAGTGTGACCAGTCTGGCAACCCACAGATTGGAAAGGCCTTGCCTCTCAGCCAGATGCCAGCGTTAGACTGAGTGCGTTGAAGGCCTCGACTTCACACACTTCAGAACACAAAATGACTTCTCGACAAAATATTAAGCGAGAGATCCATTGCCAAATTACACCGGACATTGGACTCAATTTCTTCACAAGACCCCACCTCCATCAGCACAGAGGAAGTGAGGGACGGTCTGGCTGCAATGAAGAAAGGCAAGGCTGCTGGCAGAGATGGTTATCCCCCCGGAATTCCTCCATTACTTAGGCCCTAAGGGACACCAATGACTGGAATACCTGTACATCAAAACCATGAAAACCGGATGCATCCCAAAAGTATGGCGGGAGGCGATGGTTCTTGCCATACCCAAACCGGGCAAACCAACCGATAACCCGGGAAGCTATAGGCCAGCTCCTGTGCACGGCCTGTAAACTCCTGGAATGCATCATCCTCCGGAGAATCAGCCCCCTCGTCGAGTCAGTGATCCCCTGAAGAACAAGCAACGGTGATTTCGGCCAGGACGCAGCAGTTGCTGTGACGAAGTTTTGGCCCTTGCAACGCAGATCGAGGCCGGATTCCAGAAGAAAGCCAAGACCTGCATGGCCTTTGTGGACTTGTCATTGTCCTCCGACACAGCCTGGATTAAGGGCTTGATGTTGAAGCTCACAAGGACCATCCTTGGCCTCGAAACAATAATCCTGATATGGACGATGCTGAGCAATAGGCGCCTGCCTCTGTCTGTAGGTCCGGTACTGGCGCCGACGCTCTTCAAATATCCGCACCGGTGACATGCCGCCAACTGGGTTATGCAAATTTGTATACCCGTATGACCTTGCCCTCGCAACGCAAGCAACCACTTTTCATGACATCGAATCCACTCTGAGCAAAGATCTAAACACCCGAGGGTGGAATATTTCCAGAAATGGAGGCTCAAGTCCAGTCCCCACAAAACAAGTCACTGAATTTTTCATCTTGGCAATGTGAGCACGAAGCGCACCCCCCGAAAGTGACCTTTGGCAATGCCGTGTGACACGACGACCCCACTCTTACCTCGGAGCGAAGCGGGCCTGTACCCAGATCTTCCACGGCCACCTGCTTAAGATAGCCGCCAAGACCGAAACAAGGGTAGACCTGGTCCGGAAACTTGTAAACACAAGCTGGAGGGCATCAACACCCTCGGTAAAGCCGCGGACATCAACGATGGCGCTTATGTACTCTGCAAAGCCGAATACTGTGCACCAGTTTAGACCAGAAGTAGTGACCACTCGACTTGTTAATGTCCGACTGAACACTGCAATTTGGTGGTGTAGCACTTGAACCCTCAAGTCGACCCCAACTCCATGGTTGCCTGTGCTGGCACCAAATCTCTCCCCCCACCCATCTGCTGCAACCCTCCGGCAAGTCCTGCGAATCGATGAAAATGGTCCCCCATTCACAGGGACCTCGATAAGAGTCCTCGTCATCGCTTGAAGTCACGGAAGTCCTTTTGGACCCATGCGCTTCACCTTAAATAATTATAATAATTCACGAAGCGTATGTTCCACACCCTAAATTGTATCCACACAAACCAAGGCAGATGCGGATACCTGATGCACAAATGGAAAATGAAAAACTCTCCGGCATGCGACTTTGGTCATCCAGAACAGACTGTACAACATTTCATGACACAATGCCCGACCCACAAATGCGAAGTAGATATTACTCCTCTGTTCCTGACGCAGTTATCTGGCTTGACCACCTGAATGTGAAATTGTAGTTGTAGCTCTGCATCTACATCAGCCATACAAAAGAAGAGAATTACAACTACCACCAATAGAGTTACTAAAACTACGACCACTCCTACAACTACCATCATCACTACTACTACAACTACCATAACCACCACTACTATCACGACAACTACCATTACAACTACCATCACCAAAGTACAATTTGCTGTGGATGGAAAATGTATTACTCGGTCTCTTTGCATGTCTCTGTCCCTGTGTCTTTATCCCCATGGATCTATCCCCGTGTCTCTTTCCCCGTGTCTCCACCTCTCTCCCCATGTCTCTCCACGTACATGTCAGATGGAGGAGGTGTGGAGATTGCGGAAGCTGTGTGTGGGACTACAGGTCTCTGTGGCGTGTGTCTGCAGAGAGCTTGACCTTCTGGGAGACACAGGTACCGGATTTTATTTCATCACCACCCTTGACATAGGGTTACTTTAATGTCCGAGCCGGTCATGACGCAGACACCTGGTCTGGAGTGATTGGAAGGCATGGGCCAGATCAGCTCAATAACAATGGTAGGAGGCTGCTAGACTTCGTTGCAGCCCATGGACTTGTGAGAGTGATTTGGCGGGTGATTGTGTGTTTGTGTGAGTGAGTATGCGGTAGTGCAGGGGTCGGGAACCTATGGCTCGCGAGCCAGATGTGGCTCTTTTGATGATTGCATATGGCTCGCAGATAAAACAAAATATTCTCACTTGTTTTAATCCATCCATCGATTTTTCACTGCGCATGTCCTGTTCAGGGCTGCAGGAGCAATTGTCCATTATTTTAATTGGATGATACTGGCCTACATTTGCCGTTGCTGGGTAAAACAGGTAAACGCCCCCTTTTGAATCAGTCTGAGACTGCGTCTGCTCGGTCATTAGCTCAAAGCTAACCCTTCGACGAAGAAGATGGCGAAAAGAAAAAAAGACGACGAGTATCGTACATTTCAGGACGAATGGACCGAAGAATTCGCCTTTGTGGAGAGAGCGGGTTCTGCGGTGTGTCTAATTTGCAATGACAAAATTACATCGTTGAAACGGTCGAATGTAAAGCGGAACTTCGACACGCGCCACGCTACCTTTGCATCAAAATACCCTGCGGGAGACAGCAGAAAGAAAGCGTGCCAAGAGCTTCTGAGCAGGGTGCAAGCTAGCCAGCAGCAACTCCGCGTATGGACCCGGCAAGGTGACTATAATTCGGCTAGCTTTGCTGGTTCTTTAGCAATAGTGAGGAACGGAAAACCATTCACAGATGGCGAGTATGCTAAAACGTTCATGCTGGATGTAGCCAATGAACTTTTTGATGATCTTCCGAACAAAGACAAGATAATCAAACGGATACAAGACATGCCTCTGTCGGCAAGAACTGTTCATGATCGTACCATCGTGATGGCAAACAAAGTGGAGGAAACGCAAGTGAAGGACATAAATGCAGCGCCGTTCTTTTCTCTGGCTTTGGATGAGTCAACAGACGTGAGCCATTTGTCGCAGTCCAGCGTGATTGCAAGACATGCTGTTGGTGACACACTGCGCGAAGAAAGTCTTGCTGTTCTGCCATTAAAAGGGTCCACAAGAGGTGAGGATTTATTCAAGTCTTTCATGGAGTTTGCTCAAGAAAAAGTCTACCTATGGATAAACTTCTCTCAGTGTGTACTGATGGTGCTCCGTGTATGGTGGGGAAAAACAAAGGATTTGTGGCACTTCTCCGTGAACATGAAAATAGACCCATCCTAAGTTTCCATTGCATTATACACCAGGAGGCACTTTGTGCTCAGATGTGTGACAGGCAGTTTGGCGAAGTGATGTCGCTGGTCATTCGTGTGATCAACTTTATTGTTGCCCGAGCCTTAAATGATCGCCAGTTTAAAACACTGCTGGATGAAGTTGTAAATAACTATCCTGGTCTGCTTTTGCACAGCAATGTGCGTTGGTTGTCAAGAGGGAAGGTGCTTAGCCGTTTTGCGGCTTGCCTGAACGAAATCCGGACTTTCCTTGAAATGAAAGGCGTCGGGCATCCTGAGCTAGCCGACACCGAGTGGTTCCTCAAGTTTTACTATCTCGTAGATCTGACTAAACATCTGAACCAGCTCAACGTGAAAATGCAAGGCATTGGAAATACAGTGTTATCCCTTCAACAAGCTGTATTTGCTTTTGAAAACAAGCTGGAGCTTTTCATCACGGATCTTGAAACAGGTCGTTTACTACATTTTGAAAAACTGAGCCAATTTAAAGATGCATGCACAGCAAGTGAGCCCATTCAAAACCTTGATCTCCACCAGCTAGCTGGCTGCACATCCAGTCTCCTACAGTCCTTCAAAGCACGCTTTGGAGAATTTCGTGAACACACTCGTCTTTTTAAGTTCATCACCCATCCAAACGAGTGTTCACTGAACACAGCCGACCTGAATTACATCTCTGGTGTCTCCGTCAGAGATTTTGGAGCAGAAGTGGCTGACCTGAAGGCCTCAGACATGTGGGTGAATAAGTTCAAGTCACTGAATGAAGATTTGGAAAGAATCACACGACAGAAAGCGGAGTTGGCGAGCAAGCACATGTGGACAGAAATGAAAAAACTCCAACCCGAAGACCAGCTGATTCTCAAAACTTGGAACGCGCTTCCTGTCACATACCACACACTGCAGCGTGTGAGTATTGCTGTATTGACCATGTTTGGATCTACGTATGCATGTGAGCAGTCATTCTCACATCTTAAAAACATCAAGTCCAACCTACGATCACGTTTAACGGATGAAAGCCTCAACGCTTGCATGAAGCTTAACCTCACCAAGTACCAACCCGACTACAAAGACATCAGCAAATCCATGCAGCACCAGAAGTCGCATTAATGGTGAGTGTTATAACAACATTATTTAAAAGAATAAATTCAGAGGCTTATTATACTGACATTTAGTTGAATTCACTTTTAAAATATATTATATGGCTCTCACTGAAATAAATTTCCAAATTTTTTGCTTTCATGGCTCTCTTAGTCAAAAAGGTTCCCGACCCCTGCGGTAGTGTGTAGTGGTTAGCGTGCTGTATTTCAAATCCGGTGACCCAAGTTCAATTGCTGCTCATGGCCAACACCAGTGACGATTATCTGTACCGATCCTGGGCCTCCTCTAGTTTGACTTGGCCTCAAATGAGTACCTGGTGCGATGTGAAAACATCTCCACTCAGGAGACAAAGGTGGTTAAGAGTGGTGCTGGCCACCCAATCCCTGGTGTGCCATGCCGGCCTTCATAGGTGCTCGCTAACAGCACTTGCCCAAACAGTCTGTTGAGGCTACACGGTGCATCTTTGTTTTGTCTGAGTTGTTGGTGATGTTTTTTAATGTCTGGATTGTGTGAAGAGCTCACAGATCCTTGATAGAATTGGGCACAGTCCCCATCATCGGAGATGGAGCTGATGCGTCCGCCCATGTCTCCGTGTATTCCTTAGGGATGCCCTTTGACCCGGATGTGAATTCAAACTTTCATGACAACATGGGTTACCCTGGACACAAGCTACCTCGAGTGAAGACAGGTGAGCGATCCGATTCACAGATTCACGCAAAAATATCAACCAAAGCGTTTGCAAGATTTTCCGTAAAGTTCCGTTGTTTAAAATATGGCCTTACCTTCTTCAAAATAATGTCGCACGATGTCAATATTTTTTGCGAGAACAAACACAGGACGTGACATCATAGGAAGTGCCGCTATAGGCAGTGGCATCGCAGAAATTACGCAAAATGTCGTCACGTTCTTGGATAATTCTAAACAATTACATATCTTGATCTTTATGATTATTATTGTTTTCCCACGTGCGTTACCCAAAAAAGCCTCGCTAAGTCTCCAGAAGGGTTCTGAGGGGGGGGGGGGGTGATGATTAAATAATTAGGCTTTAGCCTTTCCGGCAATAACATAGGTGTTGTGTTCAGATGTTCAAACACCAAATCGATAACGGTTATTGCAAGGCATCACCAAGTCTGCATCAACCACACGTCGTGCTTGTGGTGAAACACGCAAACAAACGCGCTTTTATAATAATTTTAACGCGTAGGCCTTCGCGACCAATATTATTCATCGTGAACGTTTTTTGGGTTATATCGCATTATTCACAATCGTGTACGCATTGTCTTTCAAACTGATTGGCCTGCACCAGAGATAGCCACCTTTATGGGCGACCGAGGAAGCTGCTGGGCAGTTGGAGGCAGTCGCCCTCCAGAAACAGCGGAGGATGGAGGAGCGACGCTCGCAACAACGAGCGGAGCGCCGTGCGGTTAAAACGCAGAGAGTTGGCACGGAAGGGGGCACGGGTGGTGCATCTGCCGGTGATCTCGGAGAGCCTTCGACACATCAAGTGGCCTCGAAGTGCACCTAGCCTGGCACAAGCACAGTGGTGACGTGCTAATGTAGGCATGGGGGTAGGTGGTGCAGCACTGAGCATGCCGTGCTACGTACCTTAACCCGTCCACCCCCCCTAGGTCGACTCAGTCTCAACTGAGTACCTGGCACGGTGTGTAGTGTTGCGTAACCACCGGGGAGACAAAGGCGGCCGGGTGGTGTAGTGCTGGTCACCCACCCCACCACAGTGGCCATCGGCTCTGCTGCTGCTGCTGCTGCTTGTTACTCACAGCACTTGCACCCCGACAGTCTCTCAAGGCTACACGGGGGACCTTTGCCTTTGTGTGCACATGCAGTGGGCCACGTGAAGCCGAAGGCGCGCGTGGACGGGGCGGAAGAGGGGGAGAGCGTGACGAAGTTGGAGGAGGAGGAGGCGGTGGCGGCGGTGGGAACGGCGGAGGCGGTGGAGGCGAGCTCGTGGAACTGTATCTACTGCACCTTCGCCAACCACGGCAGCCTCCCGCACTGCGAGCTCTGTGAGATGCCCCGGCCAGTGTGACGTGGGGAGGAGACACTGGGAGACACTGTGAGACACTGGGAGACACTGTGAGACACTGTGAGACACTGGGAGACACTGTGAGACACTGGGAGACACTGTGAGAGATTGGGAGACACGGGGGAGTGTAACAGGGAAAGACTAGGAGACACGGGGGGAGACACAATGTGAGACACGGGGAGACACTGGGAGACACTGTGAGACACTGTGAGACACGGGGAGACACTGTGAGAGATTGGGAGACACTGGGAGACACTGGGAGACACTGTGAGACACTGTGAGACACGGGGAGACACTGTGAGAGATTGGGAGACACTGGGAGACACTGTGAGACACTGTGAGACACTGGGAGACACTGGGAGACACAGGGAGACACTGTGAGACACTGGGAGACACTGGGAGAGAATGGGATACACGGGGGAGCGTAACAGGGAAAGACTAGGAGACACGGGGAGACACAATGTGAGACACGGGGAGACACTGTGAGACACTGTGAGACACGGGGAGACACTGTGAGACACTGGGAGACACTGGGAGACACGGGGAGACACTGGGAGACACTGTGATACACGGGGAGACACTGGGAGACACTGTGAGACACGGGGAGACACTGGGAGACACTGGGAGACACGGGGGAGTGTAACAGGGAAAGACTCGGAAACACGGGGGGACACAATGTGAAGCGGGGATTTGACACGGTTGGGGGTGGGGAGACAGGGGGGGACACGGGGAGACAATGGGAGACACTTTAAGACACCCTGGGAGACGCAGGGAGACACTGGGGGACGAATTGAGACACTGAGAGATACTAGCATACATAGTAAGACACTGGAAAAAACTGAGATGGGGAGACACTGGGAGACACGGGGAGATACTGTGAGACACTGGGAGACACGGGGAGACACTGTGATACACTGTGATACACGGGGAGACACTGTGAGACACTGGGAGACACGGGGAGACACTGTGAGACACTGGGAGACACTGGGAAACACTGCAAGACACTCAGACAGGGAGACTTGGGGAGATAGTGTGAGAGATGGAGAGACGGCACGGTGAGGGAGGAGACACGGGGAGGAGACACAGGGAGGAGACACGGGGAGGAGACACGGGGATACACTGGGAGACACTGGGAGACACGGGGTGACACTGGGAGACACGGGGAGACACGGGGAGACACGGGGAGGAGACACGGGGAGAAGACACGGGGAGGAGACACGGGGAGGAGACACGGGGATACACTGGGAGAAACCGGGAGACACTGGGAGACACTGGGAGAAGACACGGAGACACGGGGAGGAGACACGGGGATACACTGGGAGACACGGGGAGGAGACACGGGGAGACAGCACGAGAGGGCTGTACACACCGATCCAGTTGTATGGTTTTCTTCCTGCATTTGTCTGAGACCAAGTTTAATTGTATATTCCAATTTGTTTAAGCAATGCTGTGTGGATGTGTAAATGGGAATGGTTGCCCATTATCACGTGCGTAGTGTCTGCCTGTTGAACTTCTGTCGCACCGTCCGTAGCCAACTGTGCCAATCGGAGGTGCGGGGGAACGGCAACGAATCAAATGCAGCAAGCAGTTCTAAACAAATGTGTTTGTCAGTGTAGGTGATTTACAAGTGGATAACTCCAGTGGCTTCCTGATATCGGAAGGAAGAGCATTCCAGACGGCCACAGAAGCGGACCTGAAAGCGTTGCGGTGACCGTCTTAGTTTCGATGGTTCTTCGCGTGTTTTCGAGCAATACTTTCCACAGCTATACCCTCGACTAATGTTGACTACCTCGCCTGGTGTACAGGAGGTCGTGGGTTCGATACCGACACTGACAATGCCTTCTGCTGCTGTGTGTTTGGAGTCTGCTTGTTCTCTCTCTCATCATCACCACGGTGGCTAGGAGATGTTGACTACCTCGCCTGGTATACAGGAGGTTGTGGGTTCGATACCGACACTGACGATGCCTGCTGCTGTATATTTGGAGTCTGCTTGTTCTCTCTCTCATCATCACCACGGTGGCTAGGAGATGTTGACTACCTCGCCTGGTGTACAGGAGGTTGTGGGTTCGATACCGACACTGCCTGCTGCTGCTGTGTATTTGGAGTCTGCTTGTTCTCTCTATGCCGGTGGTCGTGTAGATTTTGTCTCCGGGTCCTCCGGTGTCTCCGTCCATATTTAGAATCGACGTGCGTTCAGATGTTTTGGCTGCTGCTGTAAATGTCCACGTGATTTACCACATCGGTAAGCTGATATCGTTTGTGGCCAGGTACCTGCTAAAATAAAACAAATAGTTTCGTTTTAAGAAACGCGCGCAAATACGTAATTTCGGATAGTCCCTATCAATGTAATGCTAAAAATGAGCGCTGTTTCAGACAGTCAGTTATTCCTCCAGGATAAATAAAGATTCTGATTCTGACAATACAACCCACCTATACAACTGTTTACAATAAAACTTATTATAAAGAACATACACATTAAAACAATCGAATAATTATTCAAAACAGATGCAATTAACCCAAACCTGTCAACCCATAAGTGCCATTACAGACCAATTCAGACCTCATTGATCACCCCGTTCCCTTATAAATGGCAACGTTCATCCTACAAAGTCGCATAACAAGGGAGAAACACAATCAAATAGACAAAACATTTTTTTAAACTTAATTTCCGTGTACAATAATACGGGTAAACCACATGGGTTGACAGTTAATCTTTTCTGCTGCACGTTGAAATGCCTGGAGGGGCGATGTGGAGGCGTTGCTGTTTCACTTTGGGGATGCCCTGACTTCGTCGCTGATCAGGATCAGAATCTTTATTTAGACCAACAGCAGGAGGAATCTGATCAGCTATGAAGCTCTTCTGAACAGATGCCCAGTCGCAGATGGATGGCACTGCGCTTTGTTTGATGTTCGCATGCCGCGCGAAAATTCGATTTCGCTGATCGTAAACAAAGCAAAAACCGGTCCACAATTTGCCGATTATTGTGTGAATGTAAAACTTCGTAAACCAGCAATGGGCACTCGATCACAATGGCAATACCTGTCAAGTGTATGCTTTCGAGTAGCATGTCCTATTGCATCTACCAATTCCCTTGAGCAGCAATGTTGATGATTGCCTTCCGCACTTATGATTTGCAATACTAAATAAGTCTACGTGTTCAACTCGCTGTCATTCGTATGTAGCAGATCACTTAAGCGGCAGGGTGTGTGGGGGGGGGTGTTTGATTATTATTTTTATTATTTCCCAGTGCTGCAAAGATGGCACAAGAGTGTTCAACGTGTTCAATTGTGGCAATACCCATTCCATGCGAAGGCATCCCATAGTGTGCATAAGCGGCTACGATTTTAATTTCCCGGCTCGCTTTTAAGGCATGGGGTTCTGGGTGCGCTCGGGCGAACGTGGCGGTTGCGTTGTGAGCCCGGGCAATTAAACAGGAATGCGAATACGCCTGTGCTGGTTGGTTCTCCTTGGTGACTGACTCAGCGGCAGCGGCGTTGTGAGCGAAGCGACTTTGGTTGTGGGTCCCGTAGAGCCTCGCTTCACGGACGAGTTCGGGAGCCTCAATGTTTCGCATATTCGCGAGTTGCGAAATGTCGTACTGGATGCATCCAGCAGATGAGCGATCATTCGGTAGATTATCGATCATTCAGTAGATCATCGATTATACAGTAGACCATCGATTATCCGGCGGCTTCGGAGTGGAGGGGGTGCCGGATTTTCAAAAAACGTCAGATAATCGCGACGAATCGTTATTTAAAATGGCTAATTTTTGCACTTTCTTGCATAACATGTTTTTAAGTGTTGTGTTTATGTTCTGTAGTGTTTAAAATGTGTTTCCTATGTGAAATTGGCTTTAAATAAACATACAAATAGACGAAAATAAATATCCATTAAAAAGTTACCGTATTTACTTTCCGTGCCACTCCAGTCTGGAAGACTCTGCGTCAGGGAGTGATATATAAATATTTATAACGAGCAGTGTTCTCATTTTTTGATTTAAAGATTTCGTGACTGCAGGGATTCATATTCTTGGTTCTTTCGGTAAAGTCACCACCACATAGAAGGGAAACAAAATAATAAAAATATAAAACAATTCTCATGACGTTTCGACTGCAACACAAGAAGCAATCATCATCAGGTGTGAAAACCACAGCAAGAAAATTTGAAAAAAAAGTGTTTCCCTTCTACGTGACTTTACCGAAAGAACCAAGAATATAGCGTTTTCATTAAGTTGAATGTCGTGTATAATGTACTCGGTATAACAATGTAGTGAGCGACATCCGACGCACGTCTAGTAGAAGGCTTCTTATTTATTAAGGGCGCCCCGGGCGATGAACTTCGTAACGCGACTACACCTGAGCTGTCCAAACACGCAGCCCATCTCTGGCTAGTCGACAAGCGTAGCGGCGGCGACGGAGCTGCTCCTGCAGAAGAACAGCCCCGGGGTGGTCTAAGACAGAGAGATGACGACCCAGACGCCACTCTAACAGCCCCGGGGTGGTCTTAGACAGAGAGATGACGACCCAGACTCCACTCTAGCAGCCCCGGGGTGGTCTAAGACAGAGAGATGACGACCCAGACTCCACTCTAGCAGCCCCGGGGTGGTCTAACATGGAGAGATGATGACCCAGACTCCACTCTAGCAGCCCCGGGGTGGTCTAAGACAGAGAGTTGACGACCCAGACTCCACTCTAGCAGCCCCGGGGTGGTCTAAGACGGAGAGATTACGACCCAGACGCCAGTCTAACAGCCCCGGGGTGGTCTAACACGGAGAGATGACGACCCAGACTCCACTCTAGCAGCCCCGGGGTGGTCTAAGACAGAGAGATGACGACCCAGACTGCACTCTAACAGCCCCGGGGTGGTCTAAGACGAAGAGATGACGACCCAGACTCCACTCTAACAGCCCCAGGGTGGTCTAAGAGAGATGACGACCCAGACTCCACTCTAGCAGCCCCGGGGTGGTCTAAGACGGAGAGATGACGACCCAGACTCCACTCTAGCAGCCCCGGGGTGGTCTAAGACAGAGAGATGACGACCCAGACTCCACTCTAGCAGCCCCGGGGTCGTCTAAGACGGAGAGATGACGACCCAGACTCCACTCTAGCAGCCCCGGGGTGGTC